CGTGACGCGACACTCACAGACGAGAATGGCGTGACCCGACACTTAAAGACGAGGATGGCGTGACCCGACACTCACAGACGAGAATGAATGGACATTTGAATTGAATATGGCAAATATCAAACTGCATCATTGAACAAGACGACGTGTGAACACATTATGGCATGCGTCTCCATTCTAGGCGTTTTAGTCCCTCTATCGCCTAAAATCAGGGTCTGATATCAGGTAAAATGTTCTTTGAACTGAAAGTGGTTGAAGGAAGCATACTTGACATACTTAAACTTATACTTGGTGAACAAGAATTCAAAAATTGTTGTAAGTAGTTTCAATATATGATAAAGCTGGGGACTATAAGCTCAGATTCAGCTACTGCCATCTAGCGGAGGATACCACTTCAGGGATGTCTGTTGGCGCGGTTCGTTACTATTATTAAGTCGTTAGTTCGCCAAACGGGATATCACGGGGCTTAATGTGTAATACTGATGGCCTAAGTGGGCTTCGGGTCAGGCCAGTTCGTACAAGATGGGTCACCAATATGCACATAGGCGGATCCTGGGGGGGAACGGGGCCCTGGCCCTCTCCCCCCCCCCACCCAAAAAAAAACTTTGAGAGTATGTTTTGGCCCGCCAAAATATTCCCAGGATTTCATACAAGTTTCGTCTACTTACTGTCTAATTTAACTTTGATGATGCGGTATCAAACATTTCTTTCCGTTCCGGAAAAAACTTAATGAAGAAAGGTTGGCAGCGATTTGAATATCAAAACGAAGCGCATGTTGACGCGGTTTAGTCATACTCGGCGCAGACATCGTGTTTGATAAGTGCACTGGACCTCGGATCCCACACCAGCCAGCTGGCGACGAACGGTTGCCCCCCCCCCCCCACCCCCAAAAAAACAACACCGGGCTAGATCCCCCCTGATATGCATTAGGAACCGCTGTGCAAAGGTCGCTGTATCGCAGACACTTCCGGGTGGGTTACTAGCCTGTAGTTAATATTACTGGCATTGTATAGATAACTGACCTGTAGAAGACGCACTGCGTGGATTGCTGACATTTGGTGCCTATTGTGAGAAGGTTCAATGAGATATAGTAGCTGTCTCGTAAGAATAAATGGTATGCAGTAGGCATTCACAAATGGCTCTCTGGGATGGATCAGACATCACCGGGTAGCTTACAGACATCACGGGATGGCCTACATACCTCACCGGATGGCTCAAATAATTACCGTATGGCTTAGAGACATCACTATATGGCAAACATACACCACCGTATGGCTTACAGACATCACCGGGTGGCTTACAGACATCACGGGATGGCCTACGAACATCACCGTATGGCTCACATACATCACCGTATGGCTTCCAGACATCACTATGTGGCTAACATACGCCACCGTATGGCTTACAGCCATCACCGGGAGGCTTACAGACATCACCGGGAGGCTTACAGACATCACCAAAGGCTCACAGACATCACCGGATGGCTTACAGACATCACCGGATGGCTTACAGACATCACCGTATGGCTCACAGACATCACCGGAAGGCTTGCAGACATCACCAGAAGGCTTACAGACATCACGGGATGAAATATCACCGAAAGGCTCGCATATGTCACCAATGGCTAAAAGCATCACCGTATGGCTTACAGACATCATCAGAAGGGTCACAGACATCACCAGAATGCTCACAGACATCACCGGATGGGTTACAGACATCACCGGATGGCGTCAAAACACCACCGGATGACTTACGGTCATCACCGGATGCCTTACAAACATCACCAGGTGGTTTACATACATTACCGGATGGCTTACACGTCTTACTGGATGGCTTACGGACATCACCGTGTGGCATACAGACATCAACAGATGGCTTACAGACATCCCAGATGGCTTACATACATCACCGTATGGCTTACACCTATCACCGGATGGCTTACGGTCATGACCAGATAGCTTATATACATTACCAGATGGCTTACACACATTACCAGATGGCTTACAGACATCACCGTATGGCTTACAGACATCACCGGACGGCTTACAGTCATGACCGGATGGCTCACAGACACCCGGTGGATGCCACCGTAGACGACCCGCCTGTGCCATGGACGCCGAGGTTGCGGTATTCGCTGAGCGTGATTCAGTGGCTGAGGTCGGCACCGCACGGCTTGGGTGGCGGCAGCACCGTGACGCAGTGAGAGACGTTGGTGCCCGTCCCGGAGCTGCACTGGACACAGCGCAAGCTCCCTGCTGCGGGAGACAGGGGACGGTCGGTCAAAAGTCAGGCACTGAACGCAGCGCGAGCTTCCTGCTACGTGAGACAGGGGACAGTTCGTCAAAAGTCAGGCACTGGACACAGCGCAAACTTCCTGCCGCGGGAGACAGGGGACGGTCGGGCAGAAGTCAGGCACTGGACACAGCGCGAGCGTTTTTGCTTGTGCCCGCCCTGGAGACAGGGGGTGGTCAGTGGTCAGTCGCTCGACACAACTGGACACAGCGCAGGCCGTCCGCTGTTGGGAGACAGGGGAGGGACGGTCAGTGGTCAGTCGCTGGACACAGCGTAGGCCGGCCACTGTAGGGAGACACGGAACGGTCGGTCATCAGTCAACCACCGGACACCGTTTCAGCGGAATGGACCGTTTCAACGAGTTCTTCTCGTCGGTGAACTCTCGAATCGCAGCCGACCTGAGCGACGACGTCACGGCCGATCCGGACCCGCGTCCGCCCATCGCCGCCTCGGCGGCGTTGCAGCTCCAGCTAGTCATCCCACCGCAGTTGGCGGACTTGTGAGACGCATGAATTCGTCTGAAGCGGTCCGTTTAGACTGGGTACCGTTAAGCGTAGTCAAGCGTTGTTTCATAGTGATGAGCCCGCATCAGCTGTGCATTGTTAAAGCGTCTGTGACGGAGAGGATTTTTCCCGAAAAGTGGAACACATCCGAGGTGGTCCCCCATCTACAAAGCGAGAGGCGACGTGTACGAGCTCTCTATCTTCCGATCTCCCTTCTACCTCACTTGTCTGAAATTGCTGAGAAAATTTCCGTGATCAACTCTCTCGGTATCCATGTGATTACAGCATTTTATTTCATAGCCAATATGCGTGCAATCCTTGCCTCTGTACTGAGGACGCCGTACTCGGCGTTGTCGAACGAATCAAACAAAACTCAGTACGCGGTGAGATTTCCACAGTTGCCGCCGCCGAACTCAGCAAAACCTGCGACAGTGTTGACCATGGCGTGCTCTTGAACAAGCCGGTGTGATACGTTGTGACCCAACTTCGCTCCGGAACTATCTGAGCGGCCGGGGGCAGCTGGCAAGAGGCGGTAGGGCGACTTTAAGGGTCCGTTTCGAGGTGCTCCAGGGGTTTATCGCCGGGTTGAACCCCTTCAGCTTGTTTACAAGTGATTTTCACCGTATCTGATTGGGCTGTCGAATGATAGCATCGCTGACCACACCGAGCTGATCGATTACTCGCCACCCAACCCTCGAAATGTAGAACCACTAAAACGGCGCATTGAAAACTCCTTGGGAACATCGCAACGCAGGTTCAGACCAACTCCGCTAAAGGTGAGCCCAGAAAACACATTTCACCATAATCAGAACCAGTCAGAACATCAATAAAGCTGAAGACTTTCACGTGTAAGCTCGCTGACAATTCGTCGCATGTTTGTCCCTTGAAGTGCAGTGTCTTACCGGGCCACCCACTCATCTGAGGCCGGAGACGTGACACTGCCGAAGTACAAAGTCTCGGCCCCACAGAGCGGGTTTCGCGACCGTGCTGCCGCCTGGTGGAACCAGCCATCTCCTGCAGTCACTGAGCGTCCGACACTGTCCGCGTTTCCCGCGCCGCTGAGAGCACTGAGGGCGTGAGAGCCGCTCGCTCTGTGCTTGGCTCCATTGGCTTCTGGGAAACTCCACTGACTAGCAGCTTTTGCGTGCAATGTGTGTCTGCCTTGCTTTATACCTTTTGTATTATACCTTGTACATGGTGACGCTAATCGTGAATAGCGATACTGCATGGATGGGTTAAATATCTAATACAATGCAATTTTCGATAATTTTTGGCACCACTTATGGGACATGTAACTTTATTTGGCCTTCGTGATTTCGTATTGACCCGATACACTTGTAAGGAGGCTCAAGGGCTAGACTCGGACACAACTCAATCTCCAAGGACTTGGCTCATGTTCGAACACGTGAAACCAGATAAGAAAGGGACTCCGGTTTTTATAGTGGATCAAGGACCAAGTCTGAACCAGAACAACGAGCCGGATTTTTGGACACATGTTCAAACTTCGCCTCAGAGCCCGAGAAAGGGATCGCTGGGAATGGCTGACAAGCGGTGGCTACCAGCCGTTGTATGCCAGTCGTGAATGGCAGCTACCCTTGCGAGAACAACGCGCCCTGGAGGCTTTCGAGCGGACCCACGCGAACGAACAGTGTCGACTGGGTTCGGCGGACCGGCCGTGGACCGCCGGCGACCCCAACCCGTGGCACTCAGACAGAGACATACCCGTCCTCGGGGCGAAGCTGTCATCTGTCTTTCATGCCGACCTGCTAACACTTCTGATAAGTCAATCGGAAATTTAACCGGGCTGTAAGATACCAGGAAAAAAAACAGGAAATGTCACGTGCAGTGGTCCCTATATTCCGAGCACATAAGCTGATATATCTGGAACTCTTCAACGTCATACCTCCAATGGCCCACCTAATGGTTGCTTGGTGACGGAAATGGCATGTGACAACACACGGCAAAATACAACTGGATAGTTGAGTAGCGTGAGATTGGCACGAGATCTGTAGAAGCCGCCAAAGTTATAGCGACTTTCGCGGCCGCGGCGATGCCAGTGACCGGCCAATTCACATCGGCTGTCCTCGATCTGGCAGCACTCTGTGGCAACGTCTGCGAACCAAGGTCAGGTGACCGCCCCGGAGCGAGAACCGGGGCTCTGAGAGCATGTCGCGGCGACATCGGAGAGTCGTGGATCGCTGCGCGCGCCTGGAGGTCGCCAGCGGAGCGTGTTCCGGCCGCGCCGCCTGTGCTCGCTGTCATGTGGGTTCTCGCTGTGCTCCTGCTGCTGGTGACGGCGTTCCTGTGGATTCGAAGGCCGCAGCGACCGACCAACTTTCCGCCGGGTACATATTTGCGCTCGCAGAGCTAGTTGGGTGACCAAAGATGCGGCAATTTAGCGTTGAGAAGGGTGGATGTGAGAAAGGGAGGCAGTGGGGCAAGCTCACTTCCTTCTTTTTGAAAGCTGGCGGCAACCCCCAGGCGGTGGCTCATCCTGATCTGTAGAGGGCCCATTCTGGCTAGTGAAGGGCTCGTTATCACCCGAAGAGGGCTCGTTCTGACATGTAAAATCCATATTATTGGCTAGGAGGACTTCATTCAGGCCTGTGGAGGGCCCATAATGGCCTAAAAAGAGCTCATTCTGGCCTAACGAAGGTCCATTCGGTTCGTATAGGTCCCATTGTAAACTTGAGCGCATAGTGAACCCATGCTGACTTGTAGCCTGTCCACTATCGACTGTTGAGAGTCTATTTCGTCCTGCGGAGAGCGAAATCGTCGTCGTCTATTTTGAACCGTACTGTGTCCATTCTGGCATGTAGAGGTTCCATTATCGACTGTGAAGGCCCATTCTGCCTTCTTAATGGCCCGTGGTTAGGGGGCCAATCTGGCCCGCAACAGGACATTCCGACGTTTGGAGTGTCCATTTCTGACCGTGAAAGCCCATTCTGGCCTGTAGAGGGCGACTTCTGAACTACAGAGGACACATTCTGATCTGTAAAAGGCTCATTAGGGCCTGTACGCAGCACGCTATCTGATTTTAAGAGGACCATTGCACGTAGTTCCCGCGCCCCTGTGGGGGGCACTGGTAGTTCGTTGGATAGGTGCACAAGTGTGAGCTCATGCAGAGGCACGGCGAAATTCTTGTGGCTCAACTTTCTCCGGTTGTGAATGATGTGCCATAAAGGTACTTGCTTCAGACGTGTGAGGTAAAACCTTAGCCATCGGCAGAATTACACATGGTCATAAGTGAACTTCCAGAATGTATTCAAATCACCATGCTTTGCCGTTTCCGCACACATCCTTCTTTTTATGACTTCCGTGTCCACTGCTGCTCAAAGAATAAAAGTGGACATATTTTCCGAAATAATCTGTATTCATCCACCAGCTGTGGGCTTACTTTACAACTGAGCTTCGCAGAAAGCCGTTTCTAATTGCAACGTGCCGGCCTTTTATACCCTACCTTTTACTTGGGGCGAAGTATAGCACACATGGAACATTTGCTTCCCCTACACCTGACATTTAAATATTGAGCCTGTTCCAATCCATTCGTACTGGCCTTATCTATTCCAGCATATGTGTTTAGGAAACACCAATTGAACACAGCTCAATCGATGTATCACTTCAGATTTCATGGATTTATCCCATTCGTGAGCATATTCATGCCCTCTATCAAACCTCGGTCGATTTCTTGCCGTGGCACTGTAGCCTGTACTGTTGTTAAATGCACGAATGTTTCTAGCTTCCATATGTGCTACGACGGCGCAACCACGGCGCAGATTTTGAGGACACTTCCGGTGAAACGCATCCCTCAATGGCTCAAAGTGAAATTGGTTGAGACTAAAAAGGCGCTCTTTTTCAGGCCCCCCAACATTTCTCATCTTTGGCAATCTTTGGACGGCGATTGAGTCGATTCGAGGCCAGTTTCTGGAGAGCATAAAGCATTGTCGGCACGAGTTTGGAGATATTCTTGGCTTCGTGCTTCCCACTGGTGAGAAGACTGTGCACATTTGCAAGTTTGAAGACATAAAAGAGGCGTGCGCGATGCAAGAAATGTCTGGAAGACCGAACAGCTTTGCTCTGCTAGTCCGCAGCTTCCAACAAAAGCTTGGTGTCATTTTCAGCGAAGGCCCTGCCTGGGTGGAGCACAGGCGCTTTGCTTTGAGGCACCTGAGGGATTTGGGCTTCGGGAAGAACTCCATGGAGTCGACAGTTTTGAACGAATTCGAAGAGCTCTCCCAGGAGATGAAGCGTGAAATTGACTCACCGATGAAGGTCAACTTTCGCTTCAACCTGACGGTGCTGAACATACTTTGGAGACTGGTCGCCGACAAGCGGCTGGAGAGTAGTGATCCCAAGGCCCAACACTACATCGCGACGGTCAACGAATTCTTCACTACCATCGGTCCGGGTAACCCGATGAACCTGGCGCCGTGGCTGCGTCACATCGCCCCTGAGTGGAGCGGCTACGCGCCGCTGATCCGACATCGCGAGACCACGGTCGGCATGTTCCACGAGGTGGTCCACGAGCATCGGCAGACGCTGGACCGCTCCAGCCCCCGCGACTTCATCGACCAGTTTCTGCTGGAGATGGAGAAGCCAGATGCTGAGGCTCGCCTCTTCACCGAACGCAACCTGTCCATCATCGGCATGGACTTGTTCATCGCTGGCATGGAGACGACGTCTACCTCTCTGAGCTGGGCGTTGCTCTTTATGGTCAAGCATCCAGAGGTTCAGAGTCGCGTGCAGCGCGAGATCGACGCTGTTCTCGGCGGAATTCCGCCGACCTACGGCGACCGCATGCGCATGCCGTACACTGAGGCCACGCTGATGGAGGTGATGCGGCGTTCCAAGGTCATCCCTGGCGCAGCGCCGCACTGTGCACTGAGTGACATCTCGTTCCGCGGCTACACCATTCCCAAGGGCACCACGGTGATAATGCATCTGCACATGGTGCACATGGACCCGGCGTACTGGGGTGACCCGGAGGCGTTCAGGCCCGACCGGTTCCTGCACGCCGACGGCAGCGTGCGCCGTGATGAGCGGCTCATCCCGTTCGGCATCGGGAAGAGGTTTTGCCTGGGAGAGACGCTGGCGCGCATGGAGATGTTCATGCTCTTCACCTGCCTGCTGCAGCGTTTCAGCTTCACCGCCGTCCCGGGGCAGAAACTCTCGCTGGAGGCCAGGTTCGCGGTTGTGCAGCAGCCTCCCGAGTTCTTTGTGACCTACAAGCCGCGTGATTAGCCTGTATGATCTACAAGCCGCGTGACTAGCCTTTGTGACCTACAAGCTGCGCGACTGTCCTTTATGACCTAGAAGCCGCGTGACTAACTTGCATGACCTACGAGCCGCGTGACTAGCCTTTATGACCTACAAACCGCGTGACTAGCCTTTGCGACCTATAATCTGCGTGACTAGCCTTTGTGACCTAAAAGCCACGGACTGGTCCTATGACCTACAAGCTGTGTGACTGGCCTTTGTAACCTAAAAGCCACGTAACTGGCCTGATGGCCAACAAGCGGCTTGACTAGCCTTTATGACTTACAAGCCGCATGACTAGCGATGAGGTGGCGGCTGTGCACCTGCTTGAGCACCTTGGTAGTCTGGGTGCCATGTAATACTAGCATGTCTGCCTCCCACATTGTTCTTTCGTCTCCATCACCAAACAGCAGATAGAGTCGGTGGCGTTCTTCACCTTCACCACATTATAGCTATAATGTCCGTCTAAATCACACGTGGTGTAATTGCGCAGGGTTCAAAAGCGGCAAGGGCATTAAAATAGATAGCGCATGTGTGGGTAATGTCCGCACCTTACGCATTTCATGATTTGTGCCGTTCTTTCACCATCTGGATTATTGTCTTCGTGCTATGGGCAGATCTGATGTGGTGTGAGTTTATGTCTGTGATTGGCGTCCGGACCGTCAATGACATCAACGTTTTCTGTCGTGAATACATCTGACAGCAGTATAGGCTATACAGTTGTCATTTTCGTCTGCGCAGCTTCGATGACGTCACCATCCACAGCTGCTTGGGGCGGTCGCCCAGCGAGATTGCACGACAGATGGTGGCCCACGTGCAGACATACGTTTTCTTGACACGGTGCGCGCGTGGAGGTGGGCAATGTTGCAGACGTAATACAGCTGTGCCCCACTGAAACGCCCATTTTCCTGCAAATGCATGCAGTGTAGTGTTGCCCTTTGGCATGCCATTCTCAGGCTTTCACGCATGGGCGATGCCACTATTTTCTATAGGGGACAAAAGGTCTTAACACCATTACAATACTGGAATGAAAGGAATGAACGAGAATTGTTGCATGCAATAACTGTCGTTACTGTAAATGATCATTATTTTGCAACTCCTAATGTTTCTTGAGTTATATGACCGTAACGCATGGGGACACGAGACAGTGCCTGAGGCCCACAGCTTTTTGGAATTGTAATATTGGCCCTTTGGGCGTTGACTGACAAGATATAATCCACCTGGCTATCATTGCCTCGCGTTCTCTTCGTGGGCGAACGTCCCTTGCTCCATGCTGGAGCAATATACTATCGCGGCGTCGTAGCTCCTTCTCAGCGCAGTGCATATTATCACCTAAACCTTTTGGCCTAATAAGCTATCAGTGTATAAACTGGTATCATTTCAGTGGAAAAGGTTCGAAGGGCGTTACTTCGTGCATTTGTAATTGGCAGCTGCATTATGGCTTGAGCGTCCGGTTTGTTTTTTTTCTTTTCCCTATGGAAAAATAATCATAGAGGGTAAATCTCGCCCTTACTATGGCGCCGATAAATCATTCCAGCGACACGCTGCCGGTGGTCCAAAAATTTTCCATGCTTCTGGGTTGTACCCTGATCGTCAAGTGCTGGATATATTTTCTCATACCTCATATGAGAAAAAGCTCATTTCTCAAAGCCTTTCCCAATACATTTTCTCATAGCTCAGGCAAGAGAGCTGGCGAAAATTGCATCATATCTCGTGCGTTGTATATGTCACGTCTTGCGCAGTGCTGGTGGAATATTGACCAAAGTTTGCTGGAAATGACTGTATCAGTGGTAGCGTCAGTAAAATGGAAACTTTCTTCGTGGTATGTACATATAAGGCACAGCTGTCCGTCCCATCGCATTTTAGATAGTATCGGACGATAGTTAAATCAAGACTAAGACCAATGTAGGCATAGCGACAAAGGTCAAGGCGACATTCGAGTGGGTAAATGATCGTTGTGTCCCAAATGCATGGAGCGCATGTATTGTTGCTTTAAGGCAGGTATGCTTGGGCATGACACCTTTCAATAGTGACAAAGCCGGCAGATGATTTGAGTGGTGGGACGAGTTGAAGAGATGGAGAGAGGGAACTGGTTTCATGGCCACTGTCTTTTCTTTGCACGAACTCTTACCGCCATAAAAGCCAATTGAAAATGATGTTTATGCATCCTTGGAACCTCCTTGGGCTTTCGCCCTTGCACGATAAATGACTATGAGTTACGGTTTGTCAAACAACCGACCGCTGTATATGTGACGTCTTGGCATTCAAAGCACCCTGCAATTCTCAGCTTTAATTCTAACGAATTACCATTTTCTACCAAAAGGCCCCAGGCTCGCGAGATAGGTAAAGCCATTGTATCTACGAGTACATCCGAGTGCATATGAGCAACACATTTCATGTCGGCCGTCAAATGGTGATGGATTGTTTGTCTGACACCCTTTTAGTGCATGATTGTTTACTTTTATCTCAATTCACTTTTAATCATGATGACTATTTGTCACTCGCCTTATTTCCCCGCGAATTTTGCAACCTGTCGGATAGCATCCTCTTCGACAGTTTGTTCTTTGGACTTTTCCCATTCGACTTTATCCCTGTCGACGCTGCTCCCATTCGACTAGATGAGATCGATGCTACCGTTCCAGTTTTTTCCATTCACCTTTTTCCACTCGACTTATAACGATTAACACATGGGGCACGTGCTCAGCGCTTGACCTGCATCCTCTCTGAGTAAACTCAGGCCACTCACGGCTGGTGCACCTAGCCTTCCCGGATCAACGGGGCGCCGCGAGTTGCAAGATGAAACGAGAATCAGGGAAGAAAGGCGAATGTACCTGATTTTAACACTTGGCACTCCTTCAACAACACGCTGTATTAGAAACGCACGAGAAACGGTGACAAATTTACCGTGTCTCTTGCTTGCGATGCGAGGATGAGTCGGGCTTGGTAGCTGACTGACGGCCGGGCCATTACTGCGGCCATGGCTGGTGTGCAGACATGATTGGTTCTATAGCCTTGGGCGGTGGCATGCCTGTACTTACGAACCTGGACCCAGATCTAAACTTCTGACACTACCAAACCAACAATTGTTTTTGAAGTGCAGCTTTTGTCTTCGACTTGGTTGCAGCACGTGAAGACTAGTAACGCCATGGTGATAATGCTCTTTTCCTGTGAAACGCTCGGAACCAACTGATAGTTTTCCGGTACTTACGTGCACTTTCGGTACTTCCGGTACTTACTTCCGGTACTTGTCGCACACCACAGCACTGGTATGTGACAAAATCAGAATTGCTCTTTACGCAGGCAAAAAAGCATGTTGGTTGAATGGTTAGACGAAGCAATATACTTTAATCATTTAGAGCCATAAAGCTTGCAGTAATTTGGCGGGCTAAACCCAGAAGCTCTAAATAAGGGGACTAACCTAAGTCACCCATTCATAACCTGCTTCTGTCCTTTACCACAAAAAATACTTCCCGCTCCCCATGCCTCCTGCAATATCAAAGGTCGCTAATTTTTGTCATAAAAAGTAAAGAAAAAGGTGAAATATACATTACAACGTGACGGACATATTGCCTCTCGCCTTGCCCCGCATTTTGGCAGCCTTCTCCTCCTCCAGAGCAGCTCAACGGAGGGTGCAAAATGTGCGCCGTTGGCGATGAAAAAGCGCGTTCGGCACGCCGTTGCTGTTCTTCGCTTAACCACCTGAGCCGATCTTCCATATTGATGTACTTAGCCCCGCCGCTGTGACATGGTGCAGCCGTCCTAGCAACGTTCATACTATGGTGATGAGTTATAGCCAACCTGTTACTGATAGCAACTGTTCTCAAGTACTCAGCCTGACGTTGGATACAGCCACAAGAATACATTTTCAGGAAATGCTGCTTTTAGAAGTCTTGACATTTAGCGTCCCGAAAGCAGGAGTAAAATGGCCAAAATGAGCAATTTGAACGGAACAAATTTGATGTGAATGAGTGACGAGCAAAATTGCAAATTCAGCACCTTTGGACGGATTTTCAACGAAGAAAGTAGCGTAGATTCATTAGTGCATTAGTAATTGTGCACATCCTTCTATTTGTTTGTGTGATATGAAATCTTTCATTGACATGGCAAACTGGTTACATCTTACTGAGCCCAACTTTTAAAGTAATGCGCTCTGATGTCCACTAATTGTCTTACTGTGCATATGAGATTCACACCCTGTAATTCTGACGATTGTGACCTTGACCTTAGCGGTGTGGAGTCAGGCTTCCGGGTGGGGGTCAAGGATAAACACTACCAAGGCGCCACCGCCGATGTTTGGTTGAGGGAACGGGGTCAAAAGACAATCACATCATCACTTCACTGAAAAACGTTGAGGAAGCGTGCTCAAAATGATGTCATTGAAGTAACTGATCACTGCTATGGAATTTCACGCACCTTGCGCTGCACCGCCGCAAGGCATAGTCGCTCAGGAACCGTTGATTGGGGCTGGGGCTACCACCCACAGTTTTCTGACAATTCCACATTGGCCGTGTGGGCGTCGACAGTACAGAAATCATCAACGCGATGTTGGCAGAAAACAAATTATCTGAGTTCCTAAGCTCCCTCTCATCGCAGTGCTTATTATCGCCAAGACCCATTGGCCACGTACTGTACTAGTGTGTAAGCTAGTGTTTGCATGGTGGCTAAAGCTAGGTAGGATGATGTTCTATGTACCCTACAGCTACGATGCGGCTTGGGCGCCCCACTCCAAAAGTATGAAGGCTGTTTATGGAAAAATATTAACAGAGCCCAACCTGCCATTTAATACGGTGGCGGTAAAGCATCTAAACGGCACGCTGCTTGAGGAACACATAGTTCACTTTCCCCTTCCAGGTCCACACCAACACCGTGTATGGTAAGCCCCAGGCGCAGCCAAATGTTCTCTGGCGTGATGCGTTCAGACTGACAATAGCAACTGCGGCATGAACTGATTCCATTCAATCCAGGCGCAGTCGATATACGTGACACAATGCTGCTATTTTCCTCCTCCCTTGCATCACACTGCGAAACAAATTTTCAGTCCGTGTCGCTCGCTGAGACTGCATTCAACTGTGGCTAAACTGGTGGGCAGGGTCATGAGCAGACTATTGTTTTGGACAACTTCAAGAAATGGTTCCCTATTGGTGGCGCTGCTGCTCGGTTGCAGGCTCTTGCCGCC